CAATTTTGAGGGGCGTGAAGAGCTTGGATGAGGGGCCTTTGGGGGCGTCTTCTGCAGAGAGCATGCCGTTTCCGGGGAGGACTGCTTCGGCGGCTGTGACCTTGGGAGGTGCGCGGAGGATGGGACCCATTGTGTAGAGAAAGGAGAGAGAGGCGATGAAAACAGCAATTGGCAAGAATGAAGCTTGGTGGAAGAGAAGACAGTGAATTCAAATTCACTTCATGCCATACACTCACTGTAGGATATAAGGAAACAAAGAGAGAGAGTATAAAACCTTGTGCTTATCGGTGGAAAGCCCTGACTTACTAGGATCTCTCTCCATGGCGCATGTCCATTATCACCAAACATTTCCAGAAGATGGACGTCGAGGAAGATCGTCCACTTACAGTAGTTAAGTGAGGATAAGAGGGGCTTATCGGATCCACTCCGAAAGGGCGGTTCGCTGCTCCGATGATAATCCCTGCGTGGCGGCATACTGTACCTAGAGTCAGGCCAGGGTGAAGCTGGCTGTTGTACTTAGTCATCTCTTATTAGAGTGGCTCTAGAGTTCAGGAACGTAATACATACATCTAGTATATGTAAGGAACGTTGAACAAGGACGAGGCTGAGAACAAGGCTGAGGGGTTTCTTATCAGCGATAGTGACAATTTGGAATTAGTGAGGGGTCGATGAGGGGTCACTGGTGTGTGTTACTCGTATCCATAACATAACTTCATTTATCTAAAATGGGATGGGCTGAGCAATGAAAGGATATTTTCTAAAACTTCAAGATCCATACTACATGTATTCATTCTTTCACTTCAATTGTCCTCCCCTTGCAATTTCATCTCACCCAAAATGCTCTACCCCCTTTCAATCCTCAGCCTCCTCCTCCTAACCCTCATCCACCTCACCCACGGCTCCCTCCCTCCCCTCCAGCCCCAGCACCAGCCCCCCAGACTCAGCAGAAGACACAGACACAGACACAATCCCCTTCTCAACACGCGCGCACTGGATACGGCGCGCAAACGCCGCGCTCTCGGCCCTCTCTTCACCCTGTCCCTTTGCAGCCTTCGGCACCGTCATCGTAAAACACACTTCCCCCTCCAAACCCAACTCCAACTCCGACCCCAACGCCTTGGGAGAAATAGTCTGCATGTCCGTAAACGCGAACCAGCAGACGGGGAACCCGATACTGCATGGCGAGATGGCGGCTATTAATGCGTGCACGGTTGTGCTAGAGGGCAGGGGGTGGAGTCCGGAGGAGATTGGGGGGGCGTGGAGGGAGTTGAGTTTGTATACAAATGCGGAGCCTTGTCCTATGGTATGTATGATCTGATTGCCATGTTTAATGTCTTTTATCTTCTATTGAAAGAGTAGCTTGTAAGAGTAAGAATGAAGGGGACGGGCTGATAATTCTGCTACTGTAGTGTGCTTCTGCAATCAGGTGGGCGGGGTTCAAAGAATGTATATTTGGGACGAGTATCGAGACATTGGTTGAGAAGGGCTGGGGACAGATTTCTATTAGCGCAGACGAGGTGTTTGCGGAATCAATGGAGTTGCCGGGACGGACACGGCTGGTTGGGGGGGGTGCTTGCTAATGAGACGGATCCGTATTTTTCGTGGCAGTTTGATGGTGCGTATCCTTGTCCGAAGGGGTGTGAAAGGAAGGATGAGGGGCTTTGTGGTGAGGTTGGGGGAGAAGGCAAAAGTGAACTCTGAAAGGGTTGAAACGATCTGGAGATGAGATGATGTGATGTGATTATGATTTTCCTTTTCTCAAAAGCTATATAGATATTCCTCACGGGGTTGCAGGAGCAGATGATTATAACTCTTAGCAGTCAAAACCCCTTTCCAAAATCTCCGACGCCGTCTGGGGTATTACGCTTTCCAATTATAAATACCTCCATCCGAAACCTTAGACAGGCGCAGCCTTGTGTGCAGGCCACGCGTTGATTGTGTTACTTGCCTCTGCTCTCTTAACACCAGGTGCGAGATAACCTTTCTCGTACGGGAACTTCTCCCTGAAATGTTCGGCAATCTGTGTACGAGTAGCGACCCAGACATTCTCCTTGCTAGCAATATATTCCACGATCCTCTTGAGCGCCATGAAACGACCTGGCTTTCCGATGCAACGGCAATGGAGAGCAATAGTCATCATTTTCGGAGAGCCCTCACATCCTTCTTCGTATAGAGTGTCGAAAGCATTCTTGACATGGTCGTAGAAGTGTGTAGGGGAGCCGAAGCCTGTCGGTACGTTGAATTTGTAGTCGTTGCAATCTATTTTGTGTTAGACAAGCTGGAAGATGAGCATAATTGGGACTAACCGTAGGAGTATGGAATCATTAGCATCCCCTTGGGATCTTTTTCATTCTTCTCCGCAGGTACGTCAACCCAATAAGGCAAATCATCTGCATATGAATCACTGTCCCAAAGCAATGACACACCCATCTCTTTGTAAACTTCCCAGACTAGTGTCTGGGATCTACTTGACAGTCTGCCGTAATACCAACCCTTTGGTGGCTCCCCGCAGATCTTTGCAATAGTCTCGATCTCCTTCTTAATATATGCCTTTTCCTGTTCCGGGGGCATATTGGCGTAGTCAATCCATCGGTAGGCATGTGACGCTACATCGTGGCCATTTTTCACAGAAGAAAGGCCGACTGCAGGGTTATCTTCGATAGCTTTACCAACCGCGTAGAGGGTGTATTTGTAGTTGAATTTGTTGAATAGACGGAACAAACGCCAAACCCCGCTCCGGCTTCCATAATCATATTCACTAAACTGCTGTGTTAACATAGTAATAAATCGAGTTTGGGACAGAGACAAGGAGCCAAGGAGATGTCTGGGAGCTTGCATAAGCTCCTTAAACAGCTTCCAGCTCCTCAGCTGCATATAGAAAATCACAAATCTTTTCAGATATCTTGTATGAGAATACGCCTACCTCTCTATGTTTACGGCTCGTTCTTGTATCTTTGGGGCTCCACCCGGTGCTTCCCATAGGTGTGTTTCCGAATGCATGTCGCCATTGAGCACAGTGTGTTCAGCACCCTAAAGGTATGTCAGAGTGAGTAGGAGGTTGGAAATGGGGAGACTTTACCTCTTCATAGTTGATCACGAATGAAACCGCAATTTTAGCTCCTCCAGGCCATTTAGGATCGAAAGAGTTTTCGCCATAACCAACTAAATCTCGAGGGAAGTCATAGTGGTCATCCCACTCAAACTCCTTGATCTTGGATGTGTCTGCTGGAAGGTCGTAGGGTGTAGACATGTTTTGCTAGGTAAGTAATGCAATTGGAAGCTTTAGGATGGTAACTTTGCAAAAGTCCGGAGTCGAATGGTGATGAGAAGAGTAGATAGAAAAATGAGGGGCGAAAGGAAACAATAAGTACGCGCTCACCGAATTGAGAACAAATAATAACATGTCATCTCAATCACCTACAGCATAGCATGCTCGATAGATCGAGCTCATTAACAGCTAGCTATCTAGGTAGCTTCAGCATACTCTGCGGGCAGGGACGATAAGCCTTGGGCGGTTCCCCGCTTCCAATCGAGGGGCATGATATGAGGATAAAGGCTCCTGATAAGAGCTGTGCGGTCTCGTTCTCGTTGCTCCGATATCCCACTCTACTCCCACTCATTTCATGCCGTGAGAGCATGCCTGCCGTACGAGGTACCGGTCGTACCAACCTAGGTAGGTACCTAGGGGCTTTGTGTAGGCAGTGTCGGCAGTATCGGGGTCAATCTGGGTGCTCGCGGTGGACAGAAAAGCGGCACCAGTTTATAATGTCCTACGCGGAGTGGGACATTAAAGAAAGTCGACCGATGTTGCAACTGGAGGACCGGCGGCTAGTAAGAGCGATGAGGGAAATCGTGAAGCTTACCAAATGCCATGCTTTGATATATTTAGAAGTAGCTTCCCTCCGTAGAGCTGGCTTCTATTGGACTTCTAGTGGACTGTCGCCGTCTTCCGTAATTAACCGAGGGAAGCGAGTTGTCTTGACCATACCTCATCCCCTCCCATCCCTTTGTAAACATCAGGACAGGAGTCAGAAATAGCAACATGTTATTGCTATGGTCTGCGCCTTCTTCCAGAAGTAGCGGAAGTCTTCATGCGCACATTCTCTATCTACTACTTGGCATGACACGTCCTGGTGGTGAGGCTCCTGGTGGTGAGGCTCTCCGACTGAGGACCTCCTACCCGCGTCTTTACAGCTCTAAGCTGCTTGCTCAAATGTTTGTGTCTCCCAGCTGCGTCAATGACTAGCAAACATCCATCCTCAGTGCGATTTATGTCTTCTTTAATCGGACCTCCTTCGCTATCAAGGAGCAGAGAAGACCAGTGTGCTCTCTGGCCTCTGCCTCAAAAAATTTGACACGGGTTATGTGCACTCCTAAGACTTCGGAGAGATTGACAGTGGCCATATCACAATTGTACTTCGAGAGCATAGAAAAAAGCTCATTGCCCTTGCTTCGCTCAAGGTTTCGGCACGGTCAAGAGCCAGTCGTGGTTCACGTTTGAGCTTCTCCATTTCCTCACGATTTCCATCGCTTAGTCGATCCTTGTCGTGCAAAGCTCTGTCTCTCTCCATGATACTTATATTCTTGGCTTCTTCGTTGCCTTGTATATGTTTGTTTTCTTGAAAATCCATGCTTGTACAGCAACGATGTAAAACGTTGGAACCGGTTGGTTCAAGAGAGGTTACTAGATATATGCATGATGCTTTTCATATCTCGACAGCCCTCACAAGTTGATGAATCCAATATTGGGCATGCAGGCACATTAGGAGACGATACAAAAAACTTCCCCTATCCAAGACCCTCATGCCTCCTGCCGTGAGCTAAAATGAGCCCATTGAAGGTGAGGGTCGGGAGATATATATATCACGTGTTCGCAAAGTTGCGGCTGTGACTAAGCCCACTTGGGCGTTCCTTACTTCACTCCTTGACCTCAGGGACGGAAACAACACAACTTATTGCTTCCTCACTCTGTTTCCACCTCTGGATATAAAATGATAGGTTTCAACTGGGGTTCTCTGCCTAGTGGTCTTTCTTTACAGCAACTAGCTGTCAAGATGACTGAACGATTCTGTCAATTCAGATGTAGTGATTGACGTCCAGCGCCCTCACAAATGAATGAAATCGTGTGTTTTGCTTCCAACATCGATTTTGTATGGCCCTTTGAAGTATCCAGATGTTACAAGAAGATTGAGAAAGCAGCTTTTGAATCTAATGCCTGCTGGCAGCCGGCGAAGCACAGAGCTTTCTATTGTGGCTTCCTTACAGAAGTCCATTCCCCCTGCGTCGCTCCCATGGCTCCCCCTTTCATCCTCCATGTGATAACATCTTTGTTTTGTCGTGCATATCCAAATGTTTGCTTTATAATCCCCTTTCCAAGTTGTGCTAGAGACCCAAAGTGTCGTCTGATCATTGCAGACAAGCAGTATGAGACCGTTTGTCGCTCTACCCTCCCTCTTTCTGTAGGTAGTAAGATATGATCGACACGTCTCCTCTCCTCCTCCAACTGCAGCGCGCCTCTGGTCTGAAGATCAAGAACAGTAGACCAGGGTTGGATTGTATGCGACCGTGTTTCGAGGGACTTCGGACAACGAGAGTGGGTGATTCGTTCGACATGGGCGTGGAGGATCGTTCTAGGAACTATTCTAGCAGCAGTATGTTAGTCACTTGGTTCATTGCACGCCGTCAGCCTTCTACGAGAGCTCTTTGAGGGAAAATGCTACCTTCTATCCATTTTGGGCAAAGCAAATCGCATGGGCTACACACGGAGGGGGTGCCCCGACTTCCGCCCTCCTGGCCGAGCTCGGATCGCTTAAGTGTTATGTGTTATGATACAGTATGGCCATGAGGGAGCTAGCCGCGCACAAATTCTTTACTTTTCCAAAATTGGTTCGAGGTCTTCCCACATCACCTCTTTTGCACTTGCTACATCTTCTCCGTCAACTCTCTGGGCTTTGACAAAACAAGGCTCTTTCTCTGGACCTCCTGTCTGCTACATCTCTCGCATTCTACAGCTCCGCAATTCCTGCGGTCATTCTCCATCAAGCATCGCGCCTCGGTGGCTTTCCTGAGCCTTCCTCATCACCTCTTTTGTCCTCCTTACGCTTCGCCACGTCAAAGCTCTCTGTATCTCTAGACGTCTTTGCTACCTCCCCTCTCGCGCTCTACAGCCCCGCAATTTCATACGGTCGTTCTCCGTCAAGCCTCGTGCTCGGGTGACATCCTTCCCACTCTACCAACACCTCTTGGCAGCCCTCAATAAGTACGCACAACACATCATCTCTCCCTACTTGGGACCTAGCCTAACCTTGACCTCAGTTGACTCAGCTCTCGGGCCCTAGTACCCCTATTCGGCCAACCTAATTTACAAGATGGGGCTATCACACGAGACCCGCAGCAAAGATGTGTAACTTTGATGAAATGGATTGGTGGTCATCTGATCCGCTCAAAGAGCCCGCAGGAATGCCCAAAATTAGGTCCGGGTGCAAATTAATGATTAAACAGTATGAGGCTTGTGGTGAAGAATTGAAAGGTTTGGTCATGTCAAAAAGACAAGTATGTTGAACACTACGATATCTAATTATAATCTTACTGACCAAAGGTCCAGGAGGGCGAAACCACCTTTCTAACCCAAGGAGTATTTTCTAATCAGGCTATCTGGCAGGTTAAAGAAGAGTGGTATATCAAGGTCGACGTTGTTGAAAAAGGGAAATTCATGTTCCGCAACCGCTGCATTCCGCTGATCACCGCTTTGACTAGAGAGGTAGGTCTCCTAAGCCACATCAACCCCGTTCAAGCATTAATTTGTAATAGAAAAATAGCCATCAGCCTGTTCTTCGCCTTTACAATGATATCTGGCGTATTATTTACGGTCATGTCATTCCGCCGACTGAAGAAGCAGTCATCCCAGACACCGTTGCACCAGGCCATTACGAACGTACTTGGGGTGCGCCAACGTATCGTTATACCATTCCTCCATTGATTGTAGTTAATATGAATACTGCCAGCATTGGTATGGGGAAAAACCTTACCATCGCTTCAGAGGCATATCGCCATTATGTTTTCCACTTGCAAGGAAACAGCCCACACTACCTCTACCGCTTGAAACCCCTTCGTATGGACTCCATACGATCGATAGTTCTCAGTCTTGAGCCTGGACGCAACATCAAGTACCAGCAACTGTCTGCAGTCGCAGCTTGCCTTGGCCTTAAGCACCTGAAGCTTCTAATTTTCGACTCTCTCGGCCTGTATGAGGCAATTGGTTTGGGCAAGACCAGATTTCTTCGACTTCCCAAGGCGCTCGAAGGTGCGGTGAGAAGTCTTGATACCTTGGAAATCAGTGGCGCTACCACCATGATCAAGATCAATGAATTTTCTAATGAGGTAAAGCCTGATGCCCATGTCGACGCGGCTTTCTTGCAAAAAGTGGCCGTTATCATTCGACGTGTCATGGCGGAGGGCAAACGCGAGATCACCAAGGAAATTGAGACCAAGCTTGTACAAGGCCAACAGAGACTCGAGCTACCCGGAACGACCTTCCCTCGCCATCTTGGGGAAGTTGTTTTTACGTCGCGTGCGCCTGAGAAATTCCTCGCCGTAGCGCCCCAAACGATCATAAACATCCCTTCTTGATCAAGTCGGATTGTACGAAGCGGACAGAGAAATCAACGCCGAAAGAATGGACAACAAAGACTAGGGCAGCACTAAGACTTGGTTTAGGGCGTTTGAGTTTTGGGGGGGGCGTTTCCAAGGTCGTGATACCTTTCAACGAATGTAATTGTACTTTAGATGGAGAGCTAACCTCGAAAATGATGACCCCGTTCGGATGAGTTTTCCACGAGTTAGTTCGCGAATTATTTGCAGACATATCTTATCAGGGGAGGAAGTACTAGGGGGGTGGATTTCTTACGTTACTACAGATCATCAGACAGACACTTTCCTCGCATCGGAAATAGAAAAACAGTAGTTGCTTCTTGCACACCAAAAACTACCTTTCCTCGACCTTCCATATCCGTAGCTTGCGAGTTGCGTGGGTGACAATGTCCGCTTCCTTGAATGAAGTCTTTATGGATTCTTTGAGTACCCAGAAGTGACTTCCTACTTCTAACTTGTACTCTCTCTCTATCACGAAGCTGCCTTTGTTCCATTACTATCCCCAGAAAAGTTCAAGCCAACTTCCCAAGCATGCCAAAAGCCTCCGAGAGAAACCTTCCTGATTGTTATGGCTGACACTACAACTCCCCAC